GGTAACTTTAGTATAATCAAGAAAACAAATAATTGCCATCCTTTTGAAACTCTGTGATATGTGTTATTATTTCTTGCTTTTAAAATTTTAAAAATTTGACTTCCGGTTTGCGCCGTCCCTAGTCGTACGAGGAGACTTGTCTCCTCGTCGGCTAGCCTTTTCTCTGCTGGTAGACCCTTATGCGAGTCGAAAGTTGCCCTGGAGGGTGCAATTTCTGTCGAGGAGGCTTTGCTCGGTTGTGGAGGAGTGGCAGCTCCTCCAGCTGTCCGAGCTATCTCTGAGGGCCGACAGAGAAGAAGATCGACCAGTAAAATGGCCGAGCACTCTGCCGCTTCAAACCACAAGTCAAAGAACAAGCTGTAAGAACTCCCGTGGTGAATCCGGAAGAGACTTTTCCTTGCTACTCTCTCTACTCTATTTTGTTGTTTGTGCCTGTAAGAGCCTTGTTGGAATTATTTCCCTGGCTTGAAAAAGCAGCTTCTGCATGTTTGGGAAGAAAGACGTTGTATAAAAATAGAACAAAATTCTAAAGACTATATTTTAATTCCATATTTTGGGGGGGTACAGAAATTTTTTTTCTCTTCCTAAGAACTATACTATCATCTTATGCTGGAAGATTATTTCTTTTTTCACATTATACTTTAAAAGACAGAAAAAAAGGAAATGGTGTCTGGAAAAGATCTTTTTTTAACCTACTGAGGACATCTAGTGGCGAAAACTTAATACTGTAACTTCTGGTTATTCTTTGAAGATGGAATAGATCTGACCTTCCAATTATTTTTGAAGAGAAAGGATAAGCTGTGTAGCTGTGGGAATTGTGGGGGTGGACACTGCCTAATTTTTATTAAATATAGCCTCTACAAAAAAGAAAAAAGAGACTCTTTTTAATTACTATCAAAATGGAGAAACCTCAGTTACAGTTAAACTGTAAACTTATATTGGAAAAGATTTATGAGGCTACTACAGAAATATGTGCTACAATGAAAGAGTTTACTACAGAATTAAGATCCAGAAATCTCACTTCAAACATTCATACTGATGTCCAGACTACATCTGACTATTCTATAAATCGAAACATACTAGAAGAGGAATCAACAGAGATAAAAGAGGAACTTATTCTATCTTATAAACTTTCCATCTGTAACTTTGAGGAACAGAAGAAGCAAAGACTGAGATTTGAAACTACAAAGCAACGAAGCTTTAAGGATCAGAGAAATAGATGCCTAATGCAGAGGATGGGACTCCTATTCTTTCAAAGGCCACTGCAAGCAACAAAGATAGATCCACTGGCTGAAAGGGAAGCTTGGTTATGGAAACCTGTCTGGCACAGAAAAAAAGCCAGAATCGGACTGAAAAGAGAAATTTAAAATTGTGTAATAGATTAAAAGGCAATGTTGGATTTATGGACTGTTTTAAGGATTAAGATTTAGAGTCAGAAGTAAGAAAAAATATACAGGAGGGTGATTATTAGAATAGATATTTTAAATAGATTAAGAATGTACCTTTTGGAATAATAGTTTTATTTTGATGAAACTTATTATGTATTGGAATTGAAAAAATGTTGGCTTTTTAGATTTGGATTGTTTCAATAATTAACTGAGTGTTTTAAATTAGTAAGATGACCTTTCTGTATGATTACATAGATGTGATAAGGCATGATAATCAACTGGATGAAATTTGAATTTTGTTTAATGAACTGAAATGATTTAAGGTTTAACATTATTTTGTTATCTTAAAGAGATTGATCGATTGTGGGATTATATATGTATAGGGTAGTTTAATATTTTATTTTAATTAGGATATCTATTGTGTAGTGGAAGAAGAAATAAATGAGATTGATGATAAAATGAGGAATGTGAGAGATTAAGAATTAGAATATATCTGGAAGGAATACCTGAATTGATAATTTGTTGATTTAAAGTTAAATTTGATTATGATAATTGTAAACTGACAAAGTTTTAAAACAGGTTTAGCAGTAATAGAAATTTAAATTAGAAATGGAATATTTTAAACGTATTTGAGGGAAATAGAGAGGGAACAGTGAATGTATTGAGTTGAGTTGTTTATATATGTTTTCACTTTTGAATGTTTGATTACCCAAACACCACGGTGTGTCCTGAGTACTTTTTCTTAAAAATTAAAAACCAATAAAATGTGTTTTTAAAAAAAAATTGTAAAAACTCCCTCATCTTTTCCATTATCCATCAGATGTTAGCAATGTAATCTTGGATGCCTGTGCTTCTTCTGGGTCAGATTTGTATGTCTGTCAGTTCTTGTTCAATGTATTGTTTAATTTTGAATTTCATAGTTTTACTAACATGTGAGATACATACAATAAATGATTCTACATATAGAAACACTGGAAAGTGATCTGTGTTAAACTAGGGAATGATCTCAAAGCCTGCAAAATGGAATACATTTCCAGTGAAAATTATTTAATTTTCAGTCATTCTGACCAATCCAAAAGATGAATTTAGAAGGGTTGGGGGGGGGGCTTTAGAGTATAGACTTTAGTCTGTTAGCTGTTTGAGCCAAACATAACCCTCTGTAGTTTGGATTACTATAAAAGCCTATAAAGAGGGATGCATCTTCTTTAGTTTGGTGGCAGAATTGATAGCATATCATTAAGCAAACTCATTGCTTGCTGTGGAGCATTTTGCAAGAAACTGGAAGTAAATGCCGAGTTTTGGCAAAAAGACCATAAATCAGGGTCATGGACCAGTTGTAGTTCAAGGACTACATGTATAGCATTCTACCATTCTCTCGCTGCAACTTCCTTCCAAATAATTTCATGAATTTTATTTTTAATTCCATTCATTTTGTTGGAGGCTCTTTTTTTAAGCTTCATTTTCCAAACAGTTTTTAAATCTTTCCATAAACATTGCTCTGCATAATCTCCGGATTTTTCCTTGTTCTCTTTATATTCCTTGCAACACTTTTTTTCTTAGTCTAAATCTTATACAATCACTTTCTCTCAGTCTTGGTATTGCAGCAATGATTATCTTATCTACATTTTCCCTATCTATGCCTATTTCACCTTCCTCATTCCACTAAGCATTCTTTTTCATTAATCTTATTAATGTTCCATCTCCTATTTCTGTGGCATTCTGTAATTTACTGTTTCAAGCAGCTTCCACATCCTCTTTCTATAATTATGTCTCTCTTTCATTCTGATGGAAGATTAACTTATCTTCTAATTCAGGGGTCGTCAACCCCCGGGCCATGGCTTGTTCGAAACCAGGCTGTGTGAGCAATGGGCAAGTGCACGCGTGATGTTTCATTCATGCAAGTGGTGGGTTCTTGCACTTGTGCATGAAGTTCCACTTGCATGAGCAGAAAACATACACAAAGCTGCATTCATGTGAGTGGACCTTTGTGCACAAGTGCAAGCACCCTCCACTCATGTGCAAAGCTCCATTCATGTGAGTGAAGTGCATCCATGCCCACTGCTTGCACCAATGAGCTGTGCTCCTACACGTATCTGCAACTCATACGCCTGCCGCCCCCTGCGCGCGCCCTCACCCACCCACTGCACCTGGTCGGACCACTAAGGTGGAAAGGTTGTGGACCACTATTCTAATTCTCATAGAGGTCTCATATATTGTTTTTGTGCCTTTTTTTACTTTCACTGTTGTTTTTCTCCCAGCCTTTTCCTCCATATTGATTTTGTCCCCAACCCCATTCTTGGCATTAGTAAATAACTCTGTCCCATATTCAGAAACTCTCATCACTATTTTATCCCTCACTAATTCTCACTTTTCAGCACAATTTAAATCAATAATACTTTTAAATTTATATTCATCCATCATGGATATGTATAAATTTATGCTTAAATTGTATACTCAAATTAAGTATTTTTTAAACAATTATCATTCTCATTCTTTCCAGTAACTCTTTCTTTACACACTCTTCATTCCTTCTCCTCTATTTAAATTGTTGAGCAGAATATTTTTTTTTCTCCTTGGTCATGATCATTCATCAATTTGCATAATTTTATCAAAAACCTGGTTTACCTGGTTCTTTTGTTATCATAATTCATTGGAATATAATATTACTAATTTATAGATATCTAATTTCATAAATATCTACAACAACCAATATAGATAGCACTGTTTCATACTTCATGAAAAACACTTTACATTGTTTGTTTATAATTAATTTGCATCTTTACTTCCCTCCAAATGTTCATGTCCACAAGAATACACCATTCCAATCATCCTTTTTACCATTTTCTTTTTTTTTATAATCACATTCTCAATCTTTAATCTTTTGTATAATAATAATAATAATAATAATAATAATAATAATAATAATAATAATAATAATGAAGTTGAAAGGGACCTTGGAGGTCATCTAGACCAACCCCCTGCTCAGGCAGGAAATCCTATAGCATTTCAGATAAATGGCTGTCCAGTCTCTTCTTATTTACTTCCAGTATTGGAGCATTCACAGCTTCTGGAGGTAGGTTGTTCCACTGATGAATTGTTCTGACTGTGAAGAAATTTCTCCTTAGTTCTAGGTTGCTTCTATCTTTGGTTAGTTTCCATACGTTGCTTCTGGTCGATAAATAAAACAACCTAACATGCCATGTTTATCACCATGTGACCCCAAAGGTACTGTCCTCCACTGCACTGATTGTGGATTTAGTTAATTTGGGCTTAGATTATTAGTTGTAGTAGTACCTACACGACATGCAGAATTCTTTTACGGTATCCAATCATTTTGGCATATTGTGAGCAATATAATACAAGTACAACCAATACTAATTTTACTCCAACGCTTTCCAACTATTCAGTGCAGGTTAGGATCTCTTATCTGGAGACTTTAACTTGCAAACCCATGTACCATAGTCTGCATCCAATCAACTAGAAAGTATATGCAGTGAAGAATATCTTTCACAAGATTGTGAAACATTTAAAATTTAAAGTTTCAGCAAATTTGTATATATTATCTAAGATCTTACATGAATTTATAAATAATTTGGTCTGTTGCCTTTTTAGATTCAACAACTGGAGGTGCTGCTGCTTCAAATTATGCAAATTCCACTTGGGGTCCAGGAGTGTCCTCCAACAGCACCAATGTCAACCCTACTCACGTCTGGGACAAGGTGATTGTAGATGGGTCTGACATGGAAGAGTGGCCTTGTATTGCTAGCAAAGATACTGAGTCTTCTTCCGAAAACTCCACAGACAACAACAGTGCCTCAACCTCCAGCTCAGAGAAGAGCGCTCTGCTAGGAAGCACCAGTAGCAACAAAGGAAAAGGAAACCAGTGCCAGTCTGGAAGCTCTGGTAATGAATGTAATCTTGGGGCCTGGAAATCCGACCCTAAGGCTAAACCTGTTCAATCTTCCAGTCCTTCAGCAGAGAATAATGGTAGTCTAGCAAGCTGGAGAAACTTGAGTGGGCAGGATAGAATTGGCCCCAATCCTGGCTTCAGCAACTTTAACCCAAATAGCAACCCATCTGCTTGGCCAGCACTAATTCAGGAGGGCAATTCAAGGAAAGGGACTTCAGAAACTGATAATGGTGGTTCAAATGCACAGATTAATACAACAGGTCAGACTTCTAGGGAACAGCAGTCAAAGATGGAAAATGCGGGTGTTAATTTTGTCTCTGGCAGAGAACATGCTCAAATCCACAACACTGATGGACCAAAAAATGGAAATGCTACATCCTTGAACTTAAGTTCACCAAACCCAGGAGAGAATAAGGGAATGTCCTTTGAAATGGGCTTTGGGAACCCCTCCAGGAGCACTGATACCCCTTCACAAAGCACTGGAGAGAGAAAAACTGGGAATATTGGGTCTTGGGGTACAGCTAGGGGGCCTTCTGGAATGGACAGTGCTTCTAATCAAATTAATTCTGGAAATCATGGGAACAATGGGAAGGATAGGGAAGACTTATGGAAGGGAGCTTCTGTTCAAAAATTGAATGGGTCAAGAAATGAATCTTGGGATAATAGTAATAGATCTACGGGTGATGGGTCTTGGACCATTGGCCCTCAACACTCTGGTGAAAGTAAATGGAATGAAGGGAACAAAATGACATCAGGGATGTCTCAGGGAGAATGGAAACAGCCGTCTGGGTCTGATGAACTGAAGATTGGTGAATGGAATGGTCCAAACCAACCAAATTCTAGCACTGGAGCATGGGACAATCAAAGGGGCCACCCGCTTCCTGAAAACCAAGGTAATTCCCAAGCTCCCTGTTGGGGAAGATCTTCTAGTTCTGCAGGAAGTGAGATTGGAGGTCAAAGCACTGGAAGCAACCATAAAGCAGGAAGCAGTGATAGTCACAATTCTGGACGCCGATCATACAGGCCTACACATCCTGATTGTCAGGCAGTTTTGCAAACTTTATTAAGCAGGACTGATTTAGATCCCCGAGTGCTTTCAAATACTGGTTGGGGTCAAACTCAAATTAAGCAAGATACTGTTTGGGATATAGAAGAGATGCCAAGAGCTGAAGGCAAGTCTGATAAAGGTACTGAGGGGTGGGAGAGTTCTGCCATACAGACAAAGAACTCAGGGGGCTGGGGAGATGCACCCAGCCAAAGCAATCCAATCAAGTCTGGATGGGGTGAGCTTTCAACTCCAGCAGAATGGAAAGAGCCCAAAAACACTGGAGGATGGAATGATTACAAGAGCAGTTGTTCTAACTGGGGAGGAGGAAGACCAGATGAAAAAGTCACAGTATCTTGGAATGAAAATTCCAGCAAAGACCCAGGATGGAATGGGCGGCCACCTAATCAGGGATGGTCTTCTGGGAAGAATGGCTGGGGAGAAGAAGTTGACCAAACAAAAAATGGCAATTGGGAAACTTCAGGAAACAAGTCAACATCAGGTTGGTGTGAAGGTGGCCAAAATGAGATTGGCACTTGGGGTAATAATGCAAATTCAAATTCTTCTAAAGCAGGGTGGGATAATAATAAAAGAACTCCAGCATGGAATGATACTGGTAGACAACCCAGTTCCTGGAATAATCCACAACAACATCATCAGCAGTCAGAGGCACCCAGTTCCTGGGACCCACCACCACCTCCAGCACCACAGCCTCCAGGTAATGGGAGGCTACCCAATTCTAACTGGAACAGTGGGCCACAGTCAACTGTCTCAAAGGATGAAGAACCCAGTGGCTGGGAAGAACCATCCCCCCAGTCAATTAGTCGTAAAATGGATATTGATGATGGCACCTCAGCATGGGGAGACCCCAATAGTTACAACTATAAAAATGTGAACCTGTGGGACAAGAACTCGCAAAGTGGACAAGCTTCACGAGAACAGAACCTCCCTCCTCCAAGGCCTAGCAAAGTAACAGCCTCAGGTAATTTTTTTTAATGATCTTCATGATGATGCAAACTTTTTTTTTTTTTACTAAATTTAGATCTACAATAATTTTCAAATATGTTCTGTAGTTTGTCATACATCTAACGTGTCCTTGAAATAACACTGTAAATGTTGAATACTATGCTTATGAAATGCTTAACTGTTTGTAGGCAATTTTATTCTTGTGACTGCTATGTTGGGAAGAGGAATTTTGGGTTGTCTTTAACTTTTAAAAAAGAATAGAATGACCCAGAGTATGCCAGAATCTAATTCACATTGGCCAAAGAATCAGATTCCTGTGTTGTTCCCATTACTAAGTCGTGCATAGTACATAGATGACGTAAATAAAATTCATAAAGTGTTTATTTCCATAAACTATGAGCTTCTTGTTACAGTTTCTGTTAAGGGGAATAATGGGAGCAGCAGAAGATGGAGTCTCCCCTTGATCAGGACTGGTTGGTTCCTTGGAACCTTCTATCCTCAGGATTGCACACTTTTTTTAATTGCTAGATGGTTTTTTTTAATATAATCTACGAATTATTGGATACTTAAATTTTTCTGATTATTTCTTATTTAGGAAGGGAGCATGAACACACAAAGGATAGATTTCCAATTCTCTGTCCAACAGATAGGTGCTTTTCAGGCTAAAACTGTTTCATCAGTTTACTGGTACAATTCACTGGTATAATATAGATTGGGTGCTTGTAAATATTCATAACAGTAATAGCAATTATTTTGTTATAGAGGCTAATATTGATAACTTTTTCTGTGGAGAACATTTGAGCAACTTATGTGATTCCAATTAGTTATTTTGCTTTTCCAGACATCAGAAGGAGGAATTAAAACCATATCTGCTTATATTTTCTAAATATCATGCATTACTACAATCATGCATATATAAGAATATGTTATATTTTTGCCAATATTTTTCTGAGCAAATTGTGGATTACATAGGTTATATATGATTATGGTATGATATATTCCATATATATCATTAATATTTTTCTGATGATATTCAGAGAATTCTAATCTGAAGTTCTCCTTTTGTCTATTACACTCAATTTGTGATTATATTGAATTCTATTGGCTGTAAATTCAAACTTTACTTTTGATGTAATAACTGTAATGGTGACAAACTGTTAATTTAATTCTTTTGATTTAGCACAATAATGTAGGATTTAGAATAGATACTAAAATTGATGTATGATAAAGTAGAATCAGCTGTGTAGAAAGAGAAAGCTTTACAGATAATCCTCAATTTATGACTACAATTGAATCCCAAATTTCTGTTGCTAAGCAAGATAGCTGTTAAGTGAGTTTGCCCCATTTTATGAGCTTTCTTGCCACAATTGCTAAGTGAATAACTGCAGTTTTTAAGTTAGTAACACACGTCAAGTGAATCTGCTTCCTCACTGAATTTGCTTGATAGAAGATCGCAAAAGGGGATCATGTGACCCTGGAACACTGCAGCCATCAAAATTACATGCCGGTTGCCAAGCGACTGAATTTTGATCATGTGACTATGGGGATGCTGCAACACTCATAAATTTGAAAAGCAGTCATAAGTCACTTTTTTCAGTGCTGTTTTAACTTTGAACAGTCACTAAACAAGTGATTGTAAGTCAAGGCCTAGCTTATTTTGAGATTATGTTGCTCTGAACATTAAAAAGGAACTTTAGTGAATAAATAGCCTAGAATGAAAACTCTCTCTGTATTTAGTCTGGAACAAAAGCACACCTCCTGCACCAGATAATGGTACCGCTGCTTGGGGTGAACCAAATGAAGCCAGTCCTGGTTGGGGTGAAGTAGAGGATGCAGGGACTTCTACCACATGGGGAAATGGATCCTCCAGTGCATCCAATGCCATAAAATCTAGTAAGTAAAATCTAGTTTCCTATTTTAAAACAACAATAATGTTGTTTTTTACTTAAAACTAATTGTTGAAAACGCTAAAAAAAATAGTTCCTAGAAAATAATATAGTTTTATAAAAATATTTTAGAATAAAAGCAATATATGAATAATGTTTAGAGACTGAAATAAAGAACCACTAGTGATTATGATATGAAGTCATTGTTAAATATCAATGACTTCATGTTATAATCACTGGTGAGCCTTTTTGAATATTAGTGCTGATATGGACTACTAGATTTAGTTGCTATTTTATTCTGATTTCAGTATTTACTGTTAATCAGTGGAACAACCTGCCTCCAGAAGCTGTGAATGCTCCAACACTGGAAGTTTTTAAGAAGAGCCTGGACAGCCATTTGTCCAAAATGGTATAGGGTTACCTGCTTGAGCAGGGGGTTGGACTCAATGACCTCCAAGGTCCCAACTTTATTATTATTATTATTATTATTATTACTTTCAGAATTGTCAGCAGTGGCTGCCTTGATTTAGAAGTTCTGGAGGTTGGAATCCATACATTTGAGAGTATGCAAGTTGCAAAAGGCTGGCTGATGGAACATCTGTCTTGGATCCATATTAATATGAAGTGCAGTATTGGAACTAAATTATATGTTTAAACATGCTTATACAAACTTAACTGGATGGCAGGTGAAGTTCTTGTGAGATTGACAGGGACACTCCTCTAAATAGAGCAGTCCTGAGTGTTATAGGCAACTAGGAATTTAATTTTAGAGCAGATTTTAGAGTTACAGTATTTAGTCTCTGATGTAAACATGCAGATAAACAGTGTGGAAAGAGGAAGCAAGAGGGAGAATGAGCATTCTAACAATCAGGAACATTGAGTTATCAGATATAGCTGGAGTCAGTGTTGCTAAATGTATGTGCTAATGTAGTATCTAGAGTAAAAACATAGATACAGTATATTTAAAGGACCTTTTTCATTCAAGAATATGTCATACAAGCTGTTGCTGTTTCCATAAGAAAAAATAGGAATCTAAAGTCATAAATAGATAGGAAGCAAATTAAGTTATCTCACTTTTTCAAGATAGGGTAGATAAATAGTGATTTATGGACTAACTGTTAGTTCATTTTGGATAAATAGGGATTTATGGACTAACAATGTGAGAAGAGGTCCTTGGATTACTAGTTTCATTGGATCCAAAGAAGTGTTGGGGATATTTTTTGAGCCTTTTTCTGGATAAATTGGAAGAATAAACATGTACAAGACCAGGTCTAGGTTTTTTTTCCTGTTACATTTTGGCACTATAATCCCAGAAGGGAACTTCTGAAGAATGCATAAAAAGGTGGCTTGTTGGGCGGCTCACAGTGTGCTGTTTTGCATTTCAAATGAATGAAAACAATCCATGCTTATTTCCATGGTATTCTTTCCACCAACACATAGGAACTGATTTTAATCTCAAAAACAATTCATTACCATGGTTTCTCTGTAACTAAACAAATCTGGGTTAAATGTTATAAAAATTTTATTCCTCTTTTTTAACTTGCTACTTTTAGGTATGTTAAATAATCTTTTATGATCAGTATTATTCTAATATGTTTGTTTGTTTGTTTGTTTTGTATTAGTACCTGTACTTTTTTTATCATATCTACAAAAAATATACCACGGTAAACTGGTGTGTGTGTGTCTGTATATATATATATATATATAGGTCTTTGGTTGTTCAGGTTTTCTCCCACGTAAAATTGGAATTTTACGTTGGAGAAAACCCGAACAACCAAAGACCTATATACAAATACCTGCGAAAACCTCAGAAAACACATATTACAATTACACTAAAAATATGATCCCTGGGTATAAATGTGAGCACCAGGGAGTGCTAAAAAATTTAATAAAATTTAGTAAAATGTCAATAAAATTACAATAAAACCAATAAAATGCCTAGCTTTCGTCAGCAACTGCTGACATCATCAGGGCTCAAAATGCCGGTCAGTGGGAGAGTCCTCTTTATAGATTGGCCAGAGTCTGCACCCGGCTCCTAGATCTTGTCATTGGGCCTGCTGGAATAAGCTGTTTCCCGGTTGCCGGTTTCTCATTAGCAATAATTGCTTTCTTGCATTTCTTGCTTGTGTAACTGTCATCGGATGTTTTCTCTTTGCCAAATTCGGGGTTTGATGGAACGTCCCCCCTCTCTTTTTTTGCTTTATTGCCGCACCCATTTTGTTTAGTTACACCCCTCCATCCTCCCCTTTCCCCACTCCGTTCTGATTGCCCCGTTGCAACACACTGTCTCTTATTTTCTTTGTGTTTTCCCCAATCATGGTCTCCGCAGATGTTATTCAAGTTAATTGCTATCACACCCCTTGTTTCCTCCTTGCTCCCTGCTTGCATGGTGCCGCCTTGAGGGCTCTTCCGTGTTGCCTGTTGATACGGGCAGATCGGCATTGCGAGGTGGGGTGGGCGGGTCATATTCCCCAAACATGCTAATGAGGCTGTTTCTCCCCTTTTTGAGTACGATCTGGTAGTTGTTGCTCCCAGGCGTCTCCTTTCTTTATCTCCGATCTTTATACATTCCATCCTAGTTTTAACCAACTCACCCTGGATGTTCTCTGTACAGCAATCAGGAGCATCAGTCTTCACCACTCTCTCCCCTCCATTCTCGGTGTTCCTCCCATGTGCATCCTCATCGGGGTCACTCCACACCTCCCGTTGGCACATTTGGGTTGGTACTGCTGAACGGGGTGGTCGAGTTGTTACAGGCAGTGGGGCTGGAGAAGCTGCCCTTTCTCTTCCCAAATACGGCAGGCAATTCAATGCCCCCGTCAAGGGTATTTTAAATATGGATCTCTTATCAGGCAGCACTCTCCCCTCCTGATATCCCGGGGTGTGTGTGCAAGCCCCTAGTCCACACGTTAGTGCTCCTGCATCTCTTGACCCTCCTTTAGCTGCTTGGAGATGTCTGACCGTTCTGGGGGGGGGGTCTCAATCGTTGTTTGTGTTCCGTCTGAGTACTCCCGGGCTGTGGATGGTGAGAGGGGGAAGTCTTCTCTACAATCCTCTCCGTTGATATATTCGGTGTTTCCTTAGGCTGTCTCCAGTGGGGTGGGGGATTGCCCATGCTCCAAGCTCTCAACGTTAAGTGGGCTGGGCAAAGATCGATGTGCCGATTAATTGAGTCCTTATTGGATAGCCATGCCTCTTTAAGCAAGCAGCCCCCTTTCGTATTGTCACTGGCCAAGACACGTACGTTTTCAAAGTCAAATCGGTGGCCTGATTCAGTCATATGTGCCGCAATCTGAGAGTATTGTTCGCCCCTCTTTACCGCTAATTTATGTTCATGGACCCTGGTTCTTACTCTCTTGGCGGTCTCACCAACATAGTTCCTGGGGCAGTCCTCACAGTCAATTCTGTAGACGACTGCTGACTTATCCATGGTGGGGAGTGGGTCCTTGGGGCGCATGATTGTGGCATGTAGCATCTGATTGGGTCTATGGGCTACCTTAACATTGTATGGTGCTAGTAATCTAGCAGTTGCCTCAGAAACGTTGCAGATATAGGGGAGGGTAACCAACGTCGTCTGTGGTGTAGGTTCATTTGTACATGGATCCCTTCGAGGTTCAGGTGGCACACTATAGTGCCTAATGAACCTTGTTGGATATCCATTGCGTTTGCATATATGAAAGAGATGGTTTCTTTCCTCTATTTTTGCTCTGGCAGTACTACAGTGGGACTCCACCCATTTAAACAGGGCTCTAATGCAACTAACTTTATGGGCCACTGGATGATTACTCTTATGATGGAGGATTCTGTCCGTGCACGTTGATTTTCGGTATACCCTGGTGTCAAAAGTTCCATCTGACTGTCGATGGACGTCCAGAAATGCCAGTGAACCCTGATTTTCTTCCTCCATCGTGAATTGAATGTCTGGGTATACCGAATTCAGTATGCCTTACCGTTCAGCAGTACCAACCCAAATGTGCCAACGGGAGGTGTGGAGTGACCCCGATGAGGATGCACATGGGAGGAACACCGAGAGTTCGAGGGGAGAGAGTGGTGAAGACTGATGCTCCTGATTGCCGTACAGAGAACATCCAGGGCGAGTTGGTTAAAACTAGGATGGAATGTATAAAGATCGGAGATAAAGAAAGGAGACGCCTGGGAGCAACAACTACCAGATCGTACTCAAAAAGGGGAGAAACAGCCTCATTAGCATATTTGGGGAATACGACCCGCCCACCCCACCTCGCAATGCCGATCTACCCGTATCAACAGGCAACACGGAAGAGCCCTCAAGGCGGCACCATGCAAGCAAGGAGCAAGGAGGAAACAAGGGGTGTGATAGCAATTAACTTGAATAACATCTGCGGAGACCATGATTGGGGAAAACACAAAGAAAATAAGAGACAGTGCGTTGCAACGGGGCAATCAGAACGGAGTGGGGAAAGGAGAGGATGGAGAGGTGTAACTAAACAAAATGGGTGTGGCAATAAAGCAAAAAAAGAGAGGGGGGACGTTCCATCAAACCCCGAATTTGGCAAAGAGAAAACATCCGATGACAGTTACACAAGCAAGAAATGCAAGAAAGCAATTATTGCTAATGAGAAACCGGCAACCGGGAAACAGCCTATTCCAGCAGGCCCAATGACAAGATCTAGGAGCCGGGTGCAGACTCTGGCCAATCTATAAAGAGGACTCTCCCACTGACCGGCATTTTGAGCCCTGATGATGTCAGCAGTTGCTGACGAAAGCTAGGCGTTTTATTGGTTTTATTGTAATTTTATTGACATTTTACTAAATTTTATTAAATTTTTTAGCATTCCCTGGTGCTCATATATATATATATATATGTTTTCTGAGGTTTTCGTGGGTGTTTGTATGTAGGTCTTTGGTTGTTCGGGTTTTCTCCCGCGTAAAATTGGAAGTGTCTTGGCGACGTTTCGATGAAGTCCCATTCGTCATCTTGAGGCTGGTGTTTTCAGCTTCGTGCTTTGAGCAGCACGAAGCTGAAAACACCAGCCTGAAGATGACGAATGGGACTTCATCGAAACGTCGCCAAGACACTTCCAATTTTACGCGGGAGAAAACCCGAACAACCAAAGACCTATATATATATATATCTAAAGGGTATTAAAACTTTGTTTTGCCAATTGGCTTGAGGTTCCAAGGGGGGTGATTATCACTGGAGATGGTTGACAAGATAAGAAGACCATGTCTCTTAGTTTTGGTTTTTCTAAAGTTTTAAAATTTTAATCTGCATAGTTTTTATATTGTAATATATTTTAATTATTAGAAAAATAATTAAACAAATATACATTTTATAACACATAAGCTACCTTGAATTGCCTTATAGGGAAGATAGGCGGCATAAAAATTTAATAAATTTTAAAAATAATGCCTTTAGCTTAAAATAACAGTTTTGAATGAGTAACCATCTTATTAGTATTAGTCGGTAGTTGATTAGAATTATTTAATCACAGCAGAAAGGGTTGGCTGCATTCATACTTAATGCTGAGCCAAACATTATGTATGGCACATTACAGTTTAGGGTGACATGCAACCCCTACCCATTTTAATTCAGATTTCTAGTCACCTTTTGGTATGCCAGGATTAGAAGAAGCTGACTACAACTAGGAACTGAGTAAATTGTTTAGATTCAAGGAGAGTTTGAATAGTATTTCAACTTAATTATATCCTGCTTTGCTTTTTGTAGAATTGATTTTGCAGAATTAATTATCAGTTAGCCATTCTATCTAATCACTGTAATAAGCAACACAATGTAAATTGGATTATGATTAGCTTCAGAATTGCCATTCAGTTTATTCTCACATTTGGAAATAGTGGAATAATTCACTAGTAAAAACGTTTGGGGTTATTATAAAAGAATGGATTGTCTTTTAAAATGGAATGATATGTGATACAACTATAGCAATAGCACTGAAACGTATATGCTGCTTTACAGGGCTTTACAGCCCTCTCTAAGCGGTTTACAGCACATTGCCCCCGACAATCTGGATCCTCATTTTACCGATCTCGGAAGGATGGAAGTCTGAGTCAACCTTCAGCCACTCAGAATCGAACTTCTGGAGGGAGCAGTGAGTGAGTTAGCCTGCAGTATTGCATTCTAACCACTGCGCCACAAACTGTAGTTATAAAATGGAAATTATAACATTTTATTCATAACCCATTTTTAAAAAAATATTGAAACGTGCAAGCAAGAATATATAGAAAGAAGAATTGTAAAAAGCCAGACATTAATATTATCTTAATATTCCTTCCACATATTAATATACTTTACTGTCAAAGAATAACATTAGTCATGAATTATATAACATGTAACATTAACTATGATGATTATAAGTTAAAAGAACTTTCTGGCTTCAACCTGACCTGAATAAAACGCCTTTGCTATGCCAGTTTGCCAGGCCTTATGAAATGAATCTAAAATCATACTGTAGTTCTCTTTTTTCCAAGTTAGCTATGGATATTCTAGTACAGTCATAAAATACTGCTAAGCCTTTAGACAAAATATATTAATTGATTTCTAGAAATATATTCAGAGTGCAATATCTGGACACAGATATATTTTTTTCTTTATGAATTACCGATCTCTGAAAAAAAAATTAGGACCGAAAGGAGGCCTAATGACTAAATATCATTTTAGCAGCATAAACCAATTTATTTATTCATGCATGCTAATTTATCATGTCCATATCCCATCTCTGAAACAATCTAATAAAAATGTCCTTATTTGGGACCAAGAAGGATAGCACTGGTTTCCATTGTTCTGTTTTATTTCTATCTTATTTCTGTCTTGGTCATTGATCTGTTAGCACTCATTTTGTAGGACATTCTAAGACCAATTAAATACGTAAATATTTGTTCCATACTAATAATATACAGTGTTGAAATAAATCTGGTATATACTAGTGATTCTAAAATTACTGTATGCTAGTAATTCAAAATTAGTCAAGAAATCTTTTTCTTTGGGCCTTTATTTCTGGATTAAAATGGAGGGATCTACAACTGCAAATGATAATTTCCAGGAAAAACTGTAAAAAGTTAACCTGTCGGTTACCAGATCCAAGTTAACAGGTTTACTGAAAGTTAAAATCCTTCAATATCTACTGCTGCTTATTCGATCCTGGATTGTAAAATGAAATAATAGAAATAATAGACGTGGGGAATTTAGGGTGGCTGTTGGTCTTTTTGTTAGTATTTTTTTGACATTTATTTTCCATTATAGATTCCAAATCACCTCAAGATGGCTGGGGCGATAATGATGGGCCAGTATCAGGAACACGGCATTCCAGCTGGGAAGAGGAGGAAGAGGGAGGAGTCTGGAACACAGCAGGCTCTCAGGGAAGTAATTCCTCCCATAATTCAACTAGCTGGGGACAAGGAGGAAAGAAACCACAAATTAAGGTGGGAAAAGTCTTGTGTGATGTAGTCTTATAGATAAGTGAATATCATTCTCTTAAACTGCTAGTGGTACAGAATGTTAACTATGTAGGTTTATGCTAAAGGGTAGTATTTAATGTATTGGCTTGATAATTTAATGTATTGAAGGTGCATAATTAACAATGCTTTGACGATGACATGGATGGGTGGGAATGAGAAGAAAGTAGGAAAAAATTGATTGGGCCATTCAGAGGTTAAATGGAAATAGTGAATGATGGTTATCTCCTTAAAAGGATGTTGATTTCAAATGCATGTCCCAAAGGTGCTTTTTCAGGAGGCAACTGGACTTTCTTGTTTTTTCTTTGAAGACATTTCACTTCTCATCCAAGAAACTTCTTCAGCTCTGGCTGGATGGTGGGGAATGGAAGGATTTATATTCCTTGCAGACAGCTGGTCCATTCCTCCCCATCCAGTCAGAGCTGAAGAAGCTTCTTGGTTCAGAAGTGAAACTCTTCAAAGAAAAAACAGGGAAGTCCAGTTGCCTCATGAAAAAGCACATTTGGGATAACTATGACCTGGGTGATTGAGAATCTCCATAGACATTTCAAATGCATGGTTTAAACATGTTTGCATACATATACATGTGGCAGAGGATTGAGAAGAATTATAAAAACATGATTGGCTTTATTGTTTATTACTTATTTTCTGTAGTTTGTATACAATTAAACTGAAGTCATAACACCATAAAACCACATCATTAAGATACACTACTCTGAAACAGATGACAAATAAACTGCAGATAATACTTCTCAAATTTGTCAGAACTGTCTTTTAATAGTTCTGAAGATAATATAGTAAGAAAGGAGTCCTATTAGGAAATAGATTACTTCCTAATAGAATGAAAGTAAAGAAGATGTAAAAAAAGAAGATACTGAAAATTCTTGAAAGAGAATGATAAGAATTATGTAATGAAGTGCCATAGAAGTATGCTTGGATAGAATGAGAAAATTAAAAGTTGCACATAATGAGAAGTGCATGTCAGAGAACCATTGCTGCAGAAAAACAGATGGTAAGAAAGAAACATGCTGAATATTTTCTGAAATTTATGACACTGAAAAAAGATATCAAAAGAAAAAAGGACACACAGAAAAAACTGTGATTTTAATGAAACTGAAAAATAGTTTTGGACATTGATTGAAGAACCTTCAGCAACATGAATAGAATTAAAAATAAAAGCGATGGAATGATTTAGTGAGAGAATGCTGGAAGAATATTTTATAGATTTATTGAGAATGACAGTTGAAGAACAGAACGGAAACAAATGCTATAAACGTTTAGTTTTCAAGAAAAAAGGCACAAGTTGTCAGTACTGTGAGAATGTTGAATGTATAAGTATTGCAACTGAAAAAACATTAAAATATGGATGTAGTCTGTTGATAAAGAGACACTGTGACCTGTCTAATGTGTGAGGTTTGCTTATAGCATTTATGTGTGACCTGTTTTTATAAGTGAATGCTTCATGTATGCATAGTAATTGGAAAAGTGCTGCTATTGTTCCTCTAAAAGAAGGGAAAGGGGACAAGACAGGGAAAAACAACAGGGAAATTGGATTGGAAATTGGAAATTCTGATGTAGAGGGTATGAGAGGTGCCAGTGAGCAAAATTTAGGAAGTACAACGGAGCTTTATGGTGCAGAGGGATGTTCCAACTAGAATTTTATTCTTCAGCAGATAATTGAGAAATAGAATTTCTTTTATTCCAGAGAAAGTATATGATGAAGCATATGAATAGACTTGAGCTATGGAATATTTTTCATGAATAGAGATACCAAATGCAGTAAGACCACTAAGTGAAGCATCTTGAGAATAATTGGAATGCTTAGCAAAAAACTCAACATTGAAGATGGAATAAAACAAGGATGTATGACATCATCTTATTTGTTTAGTGTATTTAAGAATAAAGGCACGTGTCTGGATTGGAAATATAAAAGTATAGATACTTTTGTATGCAGATCATGTTGTATTATACCCTGAGAAGCCAAAAGATTTGCAGTGGATATTAGATAGATTTGATAATAGTAACTGCAGTTAGTAATTCTATACAGCACCTGTAATGTTTTCCCCTAAATAAATCAGTAAGCTATAAGTCTATACTAAACTTGATTGCTTTTTAATTAACAGCTGAAATTAGGATCTGCCAATTTCAGTTTTGTGATGAGTATACAGGATAGCATTATTTAAATTGAAGATTTTGCAGCATAGAATGAAATTTAAACTAATCATTTCTGTTTTCAGTGTTCATTAAAAGGAGGAAGTAGTGATTCGTGGATGAATACCTTATCTGATCAGATTTCAAATATGGGATTGTTGGTAAGGCATTCTGTGTACTTCTTGGTGCAAAAATTATTTACTAATACTTGAAAGGCAAAAATAGCTACCGTACCCAACTGCAAGTGGTGCAAGTGACTGATTTATAATTATTTGTGAAATTTTATTAGTTGTTTATATAACACACACACACACACACACACACACGATAGACTTGTATAATACATAACAGATCAATACCTAGATTGAAGGTTTGTCATTTAAAAAGAAACACAGAACAGCAGCACTAGAAGGGGGGGACCCAGGTAGAGGTATAAATGAGGGAGAGAATGTAGAACTATTTCATTACACATAAATTAACAATTACAATAAGATCAGAGATTATGGCAGATAGGACATCTAACAAAACCAAACACCAGTGATTTTAAAATAGTTGATTTCTGTACTAGTTGAATATTGCTCGCTAAGCTTTAAAAAAGTTTAGAATTTTTATTTTTGTAAACAGGTATTTGGATTCATGTATTGATTATATGTACATTACAGTTAACCAGAATGCTTTTTTTTAAGTAATACCTATCTTTTTGTGCACAACCATAAAAGGGCAGGTGAAATGAGTTTCTGTTTTACAAGAATAGGCTGTGAGAAACCATGGCAATCTAAGCACTATTTACCGTGGTGCTATCTTTATTTATGTGGTTATAGTGCTGCTATTTATGTGCATATGTTGTTGCTTTCTTGGCAAAGGAGTTATGATCATATGTTACACATATATGCTTCTACTTGTTTTCTTCTCTGCATTAGCTTTGAATTGAAAGGCATCCTTCATGCAGTTCCACATGAGAATGCTTTTGTCCCCAGGCTTTGTGCTTGTCCCCTTACTGCAGAATAAGAAGCAGGCTTTTTTATAAGGCCTCTAGGATTGTCTCACTTGCCAAGACATTCTCTCTGCCTATCTGCCCCAATTCTTCTGAAGCCAAATCACTAAATTGACTTAAAGCAGCACATTCAAATAGTACAGAACACAGCAGTAGAAAAATAGAAAATTTGGAAGATTTTTATTTTAGTTGTTTTTAAATCAACTTAAATTGTGTTGGCATGGCACAGTGCCCTAACGTCCAGCATTTTTTTTTCCAATAATGCATCTGAGCCTTGTCAGTTGCCTTCTGGGAAGTAGCTCTCTCTAATATCTATTTTTAATATAAAAATATTATCAAAATTCTGAACACGCACACTTATTAAAAAAAAAACAACCTGAGAGGCCCTCATCTGAATAGGTAACTATGGTTATCAGGAGCCATACTAGCCTGCTGTGTTTATCTGCAGAAGGAACAGGGACAGACCCTATTTTTCAAGTACCCTTCACTTGTCAGTTGAAACTGCAAGAAGCCCTGAGTTGTAGCACAGGACAAATCCTGGAATCCTAGCTGGCCCAGCAGCATGCCCCATCCCAGCCATTCTGTGATCCATGGGTCCTACTGTGCTCAGTGGATCTTCACTGTTTTCCTGTTGCTGCTGACAAAGCATGCCTGGCCTGACTCTGTTACATGTGAGGAACTGCTAGCCACTGAGGACTTTCTTCTGGATGCCACGTGTGCCATTCTCTAAACTACTCATGCTGTTTATTCTCCAAACCATATGCCCCATTTTCACAATCTTTTGGAAAGTTTCTGGTCTTCCTCAGATCTTGCAAGTATGGGTGTACTATTTGGAAAATGGCAGGTAACCCATTCTCACAACGCTTTAGAACTAGGAAGCTTTCTGAAGATCACAAGAATGGGACACGCTATTTGGAAAATGAATGGCATGAATGGCTTGAAGAATGATATAAATAGCATTGGGAAGAAGACCTGGCATGGCCTGCAATCAGTTTACATACAATAGAATCGGGCAGTGCATCGGCAACATCAGGAAAGCAGCAAAGGTCAGCTGGACACAGCGGGGCCAATGGATCACAGATGGCAGGGGTAACTTTGCACAGTGATGCTGAGATGATTGACTGCAATGTGCGATTTGAAGTGGCATTTCTCACTGATAGAGGCAGCACTGCAGTAAAGTAGAAGCTTGGGTGCAGTGGTAGCTGGCTGAGACTGCTGGACAGTTTCAATTTCAGTTCCAGTCCTGATGCTACCACTGAGAAGTGCCACTATGGGGGTTAGCCGTAAGGGCATAGATGCAGGGAAAAAATAGGACAATTGCATTGTCACTGTAGTCATAAGTTCAGGTGGGCTGCCAAACACCCGAATTTTGATCAAGTGACTTGGGATTGCTCTACAGCCATAACTTCAGGCATGGGTAATAAGACCACTTTTTTTAGTGCTGTCAAAATTTTGAACAGTTGTTGAACGAATGATTATAAGTCAAGCACTACTTGTAGGGTGAGCTGTCTTCAGTCTAGTGTTTTCCTTTTGTATTTCCAAGCATTATAAACTTCTCCTGAGAGCCAGTTCTTCACATTATGTCTCATGGTTTGAACCTGTTCATTGATGTCATGAGTAGGAACTCTGGTTTAATTTGTTTTATGATCCACTTGTTTATTTGTTGGGTACTTATGGCATTATTAGAAGTGTTCTTCAACACCAGAATTCAAAAGCATTAATTTTTTTCTATCTTGCTTCTTCGTTTTGTTTGCATAAAACGTAACAGGGAATGTCTGCCCAATTCTCATGTTTTTAGATACAGAATATATCTTCTGCAAAGGAGTAGCCTCCTTTGTCAGTGTGAAGCTAGTTTGTTCATCTTCAGTCTGTACTGTGGCTTCTTAACCTAGTACAGGTTTCATATGTTATGGGATTCCCATAATTCCCTGCTCTTGAGACTTTCTCACTCAAAATTCAGGTATAGATAGCATATAGATTTTAGTTCGAACTCAAATAATTAGTATTGCAGCACTATAGCTTTGTGTCTTTTAAACGTTACAAGAACATTTCATCCCAAATTGCCAAGCAAAGGCTATACTTGGCAGTATAAATTAAACAAATCTAGATTTATCTTTAAAATGACATAACATTCTAGCCAATAGAATATCTTAACAACAGGGGTTTATTTCCAAAAGACTGGGAAATTAGTTTTTCTAGCTTTATGGGTTTTTTTAGACATTTCTTGCTATATTTTGGACATGTCTTCAGTAGTAAAAATAAACTGCACACTAAGATACATTATTTTTCATACTATGCCAAGCTAGAGATTTCTGAGAACTGTTCTTTTTTTTTTTTTTTTTTCAGAATCAAACTGAGGATACTTCAGGCAATAAGGTGGACTTATCAGTAGGTATGTATCTAATAGCACAAGGATGCAGTTTCACTTTATTTAATATTTTTAAAAATAAAACTGAGCAGTATTGCAAGCTTTATGCCAACAGGCTAGTCTTTTTGAATAACTGTGGATCATTAATGTAATTTCCACATAACAATAGAAAAAAAGAAAAAAGAGCTGAGTTGAAGTGGTAACACCTATGGAATGTGAATGGTAATAATCTATTTATTTTTGCACTGATGTTTTGGGAAGTCATGATAATTTGGTTTCATTCTGCTAAAAATTATAAACAATTCTTGAAATTCTGTTGATATTCTAATATAAAACTTCTGTTATTAGATATAAACAGTTATATTTTGCTTAGATGTAATCAGAGAATTATTAGATTATTCATGCAAAACCAGGAAAAGTCAGGGTCTCTTTATGTGCCAGCCAATGCCAAATCCAACTATCTACACATCTATTTCATCTATTTATTCTTCTGTGGAAAAACTATAGGATATTTTTTATTCATAATAAATTTGTGGACATTTCAGTATATTGTTTCATGGTTTTAGGGAAACTTTGTATTTAGGATTATGTATAAATGTATAATTTTTAAATCATTTAATTCAGTAGCATTTTAGCAATTAACAGTAATGTATAATGGTAATTGGCAAGAATACATCTTTTCATACTTCTTCAGGTGGTCTCCAAGATAAGAAGTTTGAGGTAGACAAACGAGGCATGAATCTTGGAGACTTTCATGACATAATGAGAAAGAATAGATCTGGTTTTCGTCCTCCTAACTCCAAAGATATGGGAAACCCAGAAAGTGGGCCTTACTTTGAAAAGGTAAGACATACTTTTATATGATAATCTAAAATAAAAGCTTTTACCCTGTCTAAATTTTCACAGGTAGAAAGCCATGTTTAAATACAAAATTATAGGGAAAATACTGTTTATATGATATAAATTGAAGATAGTGTTTATATTAGTTATTTGGAAAAAAGAAGACTTTTATGAAGACTCAGTATGTTTGTGTGCGTGGTTGTAAATAATTTCATTTATTATCTTACAGTCTTACTGTAGAGTCATCTCTAAGCAAGATGGGTTGCATATAAGTTTAATAAATAATATGAGAATACACCTACAGATACACCGGTTCGTTCTTTCTGACATATATTTCAGCCCTCCTTTATTCATGATTAAACCTACATTTTTACTTTTATACATAAATCTACTGCACAAGATCAGATCTCCTACGTCCAGATGTGTTTACTATTTGCTGTTCTTACATTTCAAATCCATATACCAGGGTTATCAACTATGTTTTCCATTCCACAGCTTTTCATATAAAGTTTTATAATAAGAAAAGGACTAGACTAGATTACCAGTATTAATTACACCCATGTATATGCAGCATTTTCCTACAGCAGAGCTAGTGACTCCACACAATGATACATCTCCCTCACACTTGCTCCAGAGTCAAAATTAGAAGTTTCTGAGGATTTTTTTTTTCCTGTGAACAGCATACTTGCATTCTTAATTATGTCCCTGACTTTTCTCTGGAAAACATATACATCTACAAGCTCTACTAGCCACCTGTATGGTAGATTAGCCAAATATCCATTCTTTTTTTCTGTATTGTTTTTCTTCCATGTGGCCTGCTGCAATTAATATATCCAATAAAATCTGAGACATTATCCATAGTCACAATCTCTGACATTTGAGCCAAGGGATAGCATACCTTTATTCCCTCTAATCTCACAGCCTTATTCCTCCCAGGAGATTTAAACACATTCTGCTCTCAACACATATGACTCTGTTGCAAGGTGCCCATGCTTATCCTCCCTTTACTGAGGGTTGTATATTTGTTTTTATAAAATTTCATATTTAATCTGTATTTTATATTGTTTATATTCCTTCTTTTTCTATTTTTTTTTACTGTTGAACACTTTCCAGAATTGCATTTGTATAGGTGGCTCTACAGATTTGACTAATAAATAAAGGATTAATTCACTGATCTAAATTCAATATATTTGCAATATTGAGAAGTGTATCATTGGTGATACATTGTGGTTGTGTTTTTTCTATTCTAGTATTGAGAGTAATCAAAAGGTGTATAATAAGATCAATTGGTTTTGATCTTATGCTACTCACAAAATTTCACAATTTCTGGACATTCTGGATAGATCATAAGCTTATGAGTATGCTGGATCATAGCAACACGCACCATTTAGATCTTCTCTGCATAGCCTGGAGTATTGATATGTGGATATTTGACAAGTGGTATTTCTGTTGTCTTAAAGATTGCAAAACCACTATGAGCCTGCAAGTTGTATGGTACATTGGTACAACATGTCGAGGATCCTCAATGTTACCCCAAGAGGTGGAGCTTTTACTTGAAATAGCATCCTTAAATGCAGTATTTTAATTTCATCTTTCTTCTTAGCGTTCTTAAGGATTACTTTAGAGTAACATTATGGAACAATAATTATTAATTAATATTAATAATTCTACTTGCATTTAAATTCCAGCAATTATTGGAGGACGGGGGGAAATTACTTACTTGCAGCCTCTCGTGGAGTTTATATGCGATTCTGTTGGCTTTTAGAGCCAATTGCTTCTTTTAAGTAAAGTTGCTTTTTTTCTAGCAAATCTAATATTCAGCTCTAGTAAACTTGTACTTCAATAGATTCTCAACATTATAAGAAAGTTATTTTGTATCTTATATGGCTTTCTTTTGAAAAATTGTTTTTAGATTTTATTTGGGTTAGGATATCACTCTTCATATCTTTAGCAATTTCAGCTTTACATTCTTTATAAATGTGCCATGTTTTAGCTTTTTGTGTGGTCAGGATCTGCTCATTTCTAATAATTAAGATTTTTTTGTTGTTGGAGACCAGCTAGTTGCTTGCCAGCATAATCTCCGAGTAGTTACTGTATTGTTGTATTGTCTTGTATATAACCTGGTCTTTCCCATTTATGTGGAAATTCATTCCATAAGAGTCCATGCTACCTTAATAGCAGCATGGCCAGGGATTTCTACTTATTTGCCAAGTTGCTAAGTGGACTTAGCCTTTCACTTTATTAAATTCAGCTGTCTGAATACTGGAGCCATATTGGATATATTTTTGGAAGGGTACTTCTCTGTTCTACACTAAATTAACTTCCCATCTTAAAGTATAGCTGTTCAGAAATACGGCACACACAAGCACCATATTAAGAAGACCATATTGCTTATCTCTAGTTTTAGTTCTTCAAGTGATCTCACAACTTACCTTTCCATTTCTCTGGAGATTCATTATAGTTGCGTTTTTGTTTTTGGTTTTTTGTTTGTTTGTTTGTTTGTTTTGAAACACATTTTATTGGTTTTTTGAATCTTAGAAAAAGGTGCTCAGGACACACCGTGGTGTTTGGATAATCAAACATTCAACAATAGAACCATATATAAATAACTCAACTCAATACATTCAATGTCCCCTCTCTATTTCCCTCAACTAGCATAATACATTTAAAATATTCCATTTCTAATTTATATTTCTATAATTACTAAACCTGTTTGTAACTTTGTAAATTTACAATTAACGTAATCAAATTTAACTTTAAATCAACAAGTTATCAATTCAGGAATTCCTTCCAGCTATATTCTAATTCTTAATCTCCTATATCCTTCATTTTATCACAAATCTTGTTTATTTCTTCTTCCACTACACAATACATATCCTAATTAAGATAAAATATTAATCTACCCTATACATATATAGTCCATCAATCAATCAGTCTCTTTTAAAATAACAAAATAGTGTAAGTCTTAACTCATTTCAATTCATTAGACAAAATTCAAATTTCATCCAATTAATTATCATGCCTTATCACATCTATATTATCATACAAAAACCTCATCGTACTAATTTAAAACAATTATTAACACAATCCAAAACTAAAAAGCCAGCATTTTTTCCATTCCAATACATAATTTTCATGAAAATAAACCTCTTATTCCAAAAAGTACATTCTTAATCTATTTAAAACATCCGTTCTAATAATCAACCTCCTCTATTTTTTTTCTTACTTCTAACTCTGAATCTTAATCCTTAAAACTGTCCATAAATCAACATTGCCTTTAAACCCATTACACAATTTTAAATTTCTCTTTTCAGTCTTATTCTGGCTTTTTTTTCCTGTGCCAGACAGGTTTATATCACCAAGCTTCCCTTTCAGCCAATAGATCTCTCTTTATTGCTTGTAGTGCCCTTTGAAACAATAGGAATCCCATCCTCTGCATTAAGCATCTATTTCTCTCATCCTTAAAGCTTTGTTGCTTTAAAGTTTCCAGTCTCAATCTTTGATTCTTCTGGTCCTCAAAGCTGCAGATGGAAGATTTGTAAGATAAAATAACTTCCTCATTTATCTCAGTTGTTTCCTCTTCTAATATATTTTGATTTATAGAATAGTCAGATGTAGTCTGGAGATCAGTTTGAAGATTTGAAGTACGACTTCTGGATCTTAATTCTGTAGTAAACTCTTTCATTGTAGCACATATTTCTGCAGTGGCCTCATAAATCTTTTCCAATATAAGTTTGCAGTTTAATTGTAAATAAGCTTTCTCCATTTTGATAGTAATTAAAAAGAGTCTTTTTTCTTCTTGTGGAGACTGTGTTTAATAAAAGTTAAACAGTGTCCACCTCCACAACTCTCACAGCTACATCAGCTTATCTTTTCTCTTCAAAAGTAATTTAAAGGTCCATCTATTCCATCTCCAAAAATTAACCAAAAATTGCCACTAGATGTCCTCAGTAAGTTGAAAAAAAAAACTTTTCCAGACACCATTTTTCCCCTTTTTTTCTTTCTTTTGAAATATAATGTGAAAAAAGAAATAATCTTCCAGCATAAAATGATAGTACGGCTCTTAGGGGAAAAAAATTTTTTTTCTGTACCCCAAAGCATATGAAAGTAAAATATAGTCTTTAAAATTTTATTGTATTCTTTTGTTCAACGCCTTTCTTCCCAAACATGTAGAATCTGCTTTTTCAAGCCAGGGAAATAATTCCAACAAGGCTCTTTCAGGCAAAAAAAAAAAAAAAAAAGCAAGATAAAATGAAGAGAAGAGCAGGAAAAAGAAAAAAAAAATCTCACCCGGATTCACCACGGTGGTTCTTACAGCTTAGATGTTGTTTGACTTGCGGTTTGAAGCGGCAGGGTGATCAGCCATTTTACTGGCCGATCTTCTTCTCCGTCAGCCCTCAGAGATAGCTCGGATAGCTGGAGGAGCCGCCGCTCCTCCACAGCCGAGCAAAGCCTCTTCGACAGAAGTCACACCCTCCAGGGCGACTTTCGACCCGCATAAGGGTCTACCAGCGGAGGGAAGCTAGCCAACGAGGAGACAAGTCTCTTCGTACGGCTAGAGGCACCGGAACCGGAAGTCGAGATTCATTATAGTTTTGATAGACCTATAGAAGTCTCAAAAATAGAGGTAAGATATTAGGGAGAGGTTGATCACTTTGGACCCATAAATAATTAGCTTTGATCTACAAAGTAATGAAGTCTGGATAGAGGCAGAAAAATAAAAATGTCTGAATGCCAAAATGTTCACTTGAAAAATCAATTATAATTAAGCTATCTTTATATAACTTTTGAGAATAGTTTTGAAACTTCCAATCTCAAATCATGCAGCAGGACTCCAAGAAAACTAATATTTCCAGCTAAAGATCTTTGACTTACTAACAATTACTCTAAATGCATAATCACAGAGTCCCAAATTCCAATAAATACTGCTGCCGATGAACCACTAATGATTTTTCCCTGAGACCACAGTTCTAATTGTGTCTTTTATAATCCTAACCCCTTGA